ACCATTGCTGTGTCTTGTGCTCAAAGTACCACAATTGGTGGCATTGGTTCAGAGCAGATCCAGTCGTGGATTAAGCCTTCAGAGTCTCGTTCTTGAGTTATGGGCGTATGTGTTGCTGGACATGATATCTATAGTATTATTGCATGTATTCATTGACCCGTCATTTGACAGATACCTAACGATGTTGTCGTATTCGTGGGCCAATGACTATCCTCTTTCGATGTACGCCGAGTACCCCATCCTCGCCATCCAAGGCATTACCATATGATCAACACATTGATGAACTTTTATAACAAATTCATTCATTCATTTAAAAACAGATATTATTATAGTTGTAATGGTTTTGCGATACAATCACTCATTGGATGCCAAATGGATTTTAACACTTTCGACGTAAACTATTTATTATTGCAATAATTTTCTAATTACTGTTAAATTGTTTTCTTAATCTTAGGATATGTTTGTTTCACATATCGATTGGCGTTCATTTGATTCCCATCTCGGTATCTGTGATACTTATTGTATGTTATATTTACCATGGTTAAAATACTCTGAAAGTTGTTACAATAACTATACTATACTTATAATGAAAGCAATTGGGAAACCCTATTGGATGGTATAGCAAAGGACTCCAATTGTGGACAATAGTTAAGAACAAAGATTCGGGACAAGTGTCAGCCCTAACGTGGAGTCTAAACGCGTGTTCGTGCGCCTGTATGTTATGTCTCGCAAATCAATACAACCATAACTAACCGTTATATCAAACATTATCTCTAATCCTTAGCCCGTCTCACCACTCTATACCTGTCTATAATGGATGGCATAGTAGTGACCACTTTAATCGTCTCATTCTTCCTCAACACTGGGGTCGCAATCGCTGCTCATATATACCGACCGAAGATTAAAACACAATAGACTTTGAGATATACTTTTTAATGTTACTTTTCAAATCAAATCAAATCAAATGATTACTGCCATAAGAGGTTATCACACAATAATCCATAAATAAAAACTCATATTATTTTACATCAAATACAATAGGAATTAATTTAGGATTTATTACAATAGGGAGTGTATTCTAAATACAACATCCGATTCAAAATAATCTAAACGTGAAAAATGGTTAAACAAATAGAGTGTCTATTATGCTCTGAAGTCATCATCACTGTCTTCGAGGTCATCGTTATCTATTAGTCCGTCCGTCACAGATCTGGTCGGCCTTATGATCACATAAACTGCTGATAAGACTGACACCTAATTAGAGACACAATGAGTTAGAAATGAATGTCTAGGAGTACTCCTATAATATTCGCTATAACTATGGAAAGGAAGGCAAGAAAGTAGTGGGAAAGGCGTACAGCTGTCAGAAGATCATTAACGACAACCCGCCCGGAACTGCTGACACACACGGCTGTCCCTTCAGACACTTCGATGCGAAGAATTTGCAACAATTCCTCAGAAAACAAAATATCAATGAGAATCAGTCACAAGAAGTTAGTGTTTAGTTTGGATTGAATTAACAATTTAAATAATTGATATAATTTATGAACAGATTTTAGAGATCGTGGCAAAGGAACAGAACTACTCGATGGCCTGTTCGAAGTACTTCTCGTGCAAACACTACTGGTATCCCGAGATCAATGTCTATCACCCGAACCAGTACTACAGCGAGAGTCGAAAAGCGTTTAAGATGTCTGCGTTGACTCCACCCGGAAGTGGCAACCAATCGGCTTTATTGACCGCAAATGACATGAGTATGACTGCCGACGCAACCGCCGACTCTTTGGAAGAATCCGTATTTGAAACTGAAGATGAATTCGACAAATCTGTGGCGGCCATGGATTTGGATGTTTCTGTTGCGGAACCAATTACTTGCACTGATAGCACAGAACCACAAGAATAATGGACTTTTATTTATATACATATATGATTTTTTATAAGAATATTGTTTATACTTTCAATTTTTATATAATTAATTGAATATTTAATTGAATGGTATATAAAAATAATTAAATTGTGAGATAAAATGAAAAGCATTCATTAATTAACAAAACTAAGGTTTTTATAAGTTTTATCTAAAATACTTTCGATGTATTGTTTTGAGTTCAGATTAGGCCGGAGTCCGGCTTCAATGTTAAGCTCATAAGAGGGCCGATACGCTAAAAAGCATGAGTGGTTATCTGAATTTCGTGCGATATGTCAGCGAAAACTTCACTGAAAATGAGGACCAATTGAGCGAAGAGTTTATTAGCGATGAGTTCGGCATTGGATACGACTGTCCGCCACTTCCACAGCTGTACCAACTCATGACACACATCGCCGGCTCATCCATCTGTGCGGCCAATGCTATCGCGAAGAAGAGCTGCGATATAGCCATCAATTGGTTCGGCGGTTGGCATCACTCGCAAAGGGATGAGGCGTCCGGTTATTGCTATACCAATGATATAGTGATGGCTGTCTTGCATCTGTTGGACAATGGGTTCGACAAAGTCTTGTACGTGGATCTGGATCTCCACCACTGCGATGGTGTGGAGAACGCATTCGCCCACTCCTCCAAAGTACTGACCCTTTCCTTCCATAAGTATGAGATCGGCTTCTTTCCCGGAACGGGTGATACCAGTGATGTCGGCTTTGGATCTAAAGGCAGATACCATTCCATCAATATTCCACTGAAGGATGGAATCACTGATGAATGTTATGTCGATTTGTTTAAGAGAGTTATGCATCAAATCCAATCGTGTTATAAAAGTCAAGTAATTGTGTGTCAGTCGGGCGCCGACGGTCTCAATGGCGACCCAATGAATGCCTTCAATCTCACAATTAATGGTTACTCCGAATGTATAAAGTATTTGATATCAATGAATAAACCACTTATACTTCTGGGGGGTGGGGGTTATCACCCATTAAATACTGCCAGACTGTGGGCAGCTTTAACGGCCTGTGCACTCAATGAAACTCTTGACAATGACATACCAGACCACTCATGCTTTTTAGCGTATCGGCCCTCTTATGAGCTTAACATTGAAGCCGGACTCCGGCCTAATCTGAACTCAAAACAATACATCGAAAGTATTTTAGATAAAACTTATAAAAACCTTAGTTTTATTAATTAATTAATTAATGCTTTTCATTTTATCTCACAATTTAATTATTTTTATATACCATTCAATTAAATATTCAATTAATTATATAAAAATTGAAAGTATAAACAATATTCTTATAAAAATCATATATGTATATAAATAAAAGTACATTATTCCTGTGGTTCTGTGCTATCAGTGCAAGCAATTGGTTCCGCAACAGAAACATCCAAATCCATGGCCGCCACAGATTTGTCGAATTCATCTTCAGTTTCAAATACGGATTCATCCAAAGAGTCGGCGGTTGCGTTGGCAGTCATACTCATGTCATTTGCGGTCAATAAAGCCGATTGGTTGCCACTTCCCGGTGGAGTCAACGCAGACATCTTAAATGCTTTTCGACTCTCGGTGTAGTACTGGTTCGGGTGATAGACATTCATCTCGGGATACCAGTAGTGTTTGCACGAGAAGTACTTCGAACAGGCCTTCGAGTAGTTCTGTTCGTTTGCCACGATCTCTAAAATCTGTTCATAAATTATATCAATTATTCAAATTGTTAATTCAATCCAAACTAAACACTAACTTCTTGTGACTGATTCTCATTGATATTTTGTTTTCTGAGGAATTGTTGCAAATTCTTTGCATCGAAGTGTCTGAAAGGACAGCCGTGTGTGTCAGCAGTTCCGGGCGGGTTGTCGTTAATGATCTTCTGACAGCTGTACGCCTTTCCCACTACTTTCTTGCCTTCCTTTCCATAGTTATAGCGAATATTATAGGAGTACTCCTTTTGGAACTTCTCTGGAGTTGTCTTTTTGATGAACTCCTCGCGGAAGAAGTCTAACGCGTCCTCAAGACTGAGACCAATGCCTTTAAGGAAGAGCCCGTAGTGTAGGCGTCCGTAATGTCTCAAGTGATGCTCTCTTCGCAAGATTTCGTGCGTGTTTTGCATACACGGAGGGAATGACTCCTTGGATAAGCCGTCGATCATCTGTGGTCTCACTATTTCTCGTCCCAACTCGTCCTCAGTCTTCACACTACTGTTGCGGTTCTCTATGATATGAGTGTGAAGTGACTGCAGACGAGGAATAAGTCTTTGATCCTCTTCTAACTGATGCAATGATAACTGCATTATCTTTAATATAAGAATACAATTAGAGAAACAGTGATTCAATTGAGTGATAAATTGCTTGAATTACAGCCAAAGAGTGGGACAGTTCTGCACGAAATTTGCTGCAAATGACGGAAACCATGTCCTGAACCATAATGTAAGCGTTGCCAGCATTCAGAAAAACTTTTCGGGTCTTAATCGCTTCCAACGATTCCTCAAATGGTATTTTGTAGACAACAATATTGACGGATTGGCGTAAAGTGTTGTTCCAATTGATTTGATCCATTAGTCTTCTTCTCTCTTCTTCTGGAACTTCTTGGAAATTGAATCCATTTTTAGCCAAAATTGATGGCAAATCCGCGGTAATCGAGTTATCCATGAGTCGAGCCCTCAATATCTCGCACTCGCGGCTTATGAACCACTTCTTGAGTTCATCGCTTCTGCAGTAATATATTCTGAGCAGAAAGTGCGAGATTTGATCCCTTCTTCGGGCGTTAATCACTTCCATATTCTTTGACTTTTGTTTTCCCTAAACATATAATCCATTCATTCAACACACTGTCCATCACTTCCACGACACTTACCATCGCATAGAAGTTCTTCTCGTTCTTCGACTCTGCGTTCAGTAACCGATTCTCAAGGCTTTCGAAATAAGTCTTATTTCTCTTGAAGTTTGAGGTCTTCTCCAAATTCTTGAGCATTTCGTCGCAAACCATAAGAACTGTTGTATTAAACAAATAATGGATTCAATTGACAGCAAACAAGTGATGCAAAGAGTGGACAAACGGTTAAGTCTTTCGGCGACCATATCTTCCGACTCTTCTAACGATATCTTTCCGAAGGGAGGGATTGTATAGAAGTTAATGGAGTCGTCGTATTGATTGGTCATATGGTGGCCAACGAGTGGCGTCTCCTTAAGACCGGTTCCCGACGACCCTTTCCACAGACGGGTCTCGCGGTTGGCGTTGAACTGCATTTCAATCCAATGGACACTCAATGCACTCACAGATGAAGTCAATTAAAGTCAATGCAATCCTATCACAGACTCCGCAAACAATACACTCTTTCACTGCTTTCCCGCCAAACATTGCATGTCAGCTGCATTTGAGCCCATATTCAGGCAATACTCCCACAGACTATTGATTTGGGAGTAAAAGGAATATTGCATTGAAATAGCATTACTGTGCCATTGAGTGCCACACAAACAGTGGTTGTATTAGTTGTATAGCAACGCAAACATATATTACGACATTTTGAGGCAAAAGTGTCTCGTATTTGACGTTTGAATACATCGTAAAAGGCGTCAAAACATTGCAATTGTTTACAAATGAATGACTGATCGCTTCCAACCATTCAATCGGATGTTGTATTCATTTGGATAATCGTTGGACACAAACAGTCGTCTAATTATCTTATAACCAACATTTGGATCAATAGTGCGCTCATTGGACACGTCTTGAGGAGATTGGTGTGAAGTGTCAGAAGTGTCATCTGATTGGCGATCATATGACGTGATAAGCGATGTTACCATTGAGTGGAACCGTTTGGATGTTAATGCCATTCGTGGCATCACTTCTTGTAAGCATTGCATCGCTTAATGAAATGCAAATCATGTGATAAATTGTGTCGATTTCAGGCGATTTTGATATTTTCCATACTATATGTCAAACGATATCGCAATCCCTATGAGTCGGACAGGGGTTCGAGTATCACATCAATTGTGGCACTCTTTGTATCACTGCTTACCTGTGCTCTCATTCCCGTCGATATCTTCATCGTGTCCTTCATGAAGGACTCTTCGAGTCATTTCAAAGTAATATCCAATGCTTTCCATTACTTCCCAAACAATACACTAACGACTGTCCCATTGATTACAGGAATGGGCGCTGAATATCACCCAAAGGACTGACATCGAGAACTCAGTTCTCTATTCTTATTATAGTATGCATTGAATCGAGTCTTCAAATGCATTCAATTAATCCCTTTTTATGTCACTCTTTAGCGCTGTATTCGTTGATATTCTTCTGTGTATTCATTTTGATTCCTTTCGTGTATTTCTATTACGAGGAGAAAAGCGAAGAGGGATTCACTTCTGAAGGGGTTTGCAATCAATTGCTTGCATTTGAGTCCTAAACTAAATCTCAATTTTTTGCCCAAAATTCAATACAATAGCGATTGTGTTCTGCAATCAAATTCACGGTCGGCTTCCTATTCGTTGCGGTGGTTCTGCTACTTATTGGGTATTATTTGTTTGGTTCATGTGTTTAGCCATCAATTCATAGCAATAACTCATTTATTGAACAGCACTTTCATACCATTACGCGAATACTCGCCGCCCCCTAACTCGACCACTAATGGCACTAATAGTAGCCACGAATGGATCGATGACATGAAGTTTATATTGGATGACTTGACCCGAAACAAGGGCGAAGACGCGCTCTCAATGGTGTTGAGTATTCTCACGTCTGTAGGGGTCATCCAATTGGTTATATTCACGGCTTTCGGGATGTCTTCGTTTCCGATCGGTTTGATTAGAGGCACGAAAAGCGCGCGCCTGGAGATGGAGCGCATCCAAGACTCGCATCTCACGAATCAAACCAAAATCAATGCTCTCAGAGATCGCGAGCGCATTGGAAACCGATTGACACCTCGAGAGAGAAGACAACTGACGAAACTGGAAGAGAACGAGAGGATCATCACTCGCGAAGAGCAATACCTCTTGACATACAGGGGCTCTCTCTTCTATAAACTCCGAAACCTCGTTCGCCCGCTTCAGATAGGCTTCGGATTCATTCTCTGCGCTCTCTCTTTGATTATTTGGGTTTCACTACTGATTACGAAGTAATCATAATCTAAACCAAATTCATATGAAGTGTATTCATATCTCGTGTTAATTTCTAGTATCGATAAAGCGATGCATTCATTGGGAATGAGAATGGGTTACGCGTTATTCAAACCCCAGATCACGAATCCAATCGATATAATCTTGGTCACATTTCAGCGCGTATTCCCATTGGATTACATCCTAATCCTGTGTATGTCTTTGTTCTTCATAATGGCCACTATGTCTGGTATCAAGAATTTAGGCATTTGGTTCTTCTGTGTCCGGGTATGCATTCACTCACTTCCACACACAACCCATTCATTCATATTCTTAACTCTTATTTTCCAAAGCTTTACAAAATCCGCGTCAAGAAGTCGAGCCCTCAGGCATTGCTTATGCTATTCGCGACTCTAATGCTGACAACTCTGGGCATTAATATTCTGTTTTATTGTGTGTCTCCACAATATGTCACTTATGGCAGTCAGCACTATATCAACGCCACGGCCAACAACACGGTTATGGTTTGTTCGTCAATAGCGTCGTCAGGTATTGCCTTCTCAGCAAACCATGCGATTGAATGACAATTAATGACAATAACAATGACCCGATTGCAGAGGACTGTACGATGACTCGCGTGAGCGCACTGTTGGTCCGGTTCTTCTACAAGGCCTGGTTTTTCGGCGCTTTCTATTACTGGTCGATGTGGGCCTTCATTGCAGTCAGTTTTCCACCGGTTCTATACATTTTGGACATTCATTTCTAACTCATTGTGTCTCTAATTAGGTGTCAGTCTTATCAGCAGTTTATGTGATCATAAGGCCGACCAGATCTGTGACGGACGGACTAATAGATAACGATGACCTCGAAGACAGTGACGACGACCTCAGAGCATAATAGACACTCTATTTGTTTAACGATTTTTCACGTTTAGATTATTTTGAATCGGATGTTGTATTTAGAATACACTCCCTATTGTAATAAATCCTAAATTAATTCCTATTGTATTTGATGTAAAATAATATCAGTTTTTATTTATGGATTATTGTGTGATAACCTCTTATGGCAGTAATCATTTGATTTGATTTGATTTTAAAAGTAACATTAAAAAGTATATCTCAAAGCCTATTGTGTTTTAATCTTCGGTCGGTATATATGAGCAGCGATTGCGACCCCAGTGTTGAGGAAGAATGAGACGATTAAAGTGGTCACTACTATGCCATCCATTATAGACAGGTATAGAGTTGTGAGACGGGCTAAGGATTAGAGATCATGTTTGATATAACTGTTAGTTAGCGTTGTATTGATTTGCGAGACATAACATACAGGCGCACGAACACGCGTTTAGACTCCACGTTAGGGCCGACACTTGTCCCGAATCTTTGTTCTTCACTATTGTCCACAATTGGAGTCCTTTACTATACCATCCAATAGGGTTTCCCAATTGCTTTCGTTATAAGTATAGTATAGTTATTGTAACAACTTTCAGAGTATTTTAACCATGGTAAATATAACATACAATAAGTATCACGGATACCGAGATGGGAATCAAATGAATGCCAATCGATATGTGAAACAAACAAATCCTAAGATTAAGAAAACAATTTAACAGTAATTAGAAAATGATTTCAATAATAAATAGTTTACGCCGAAAGTGCTAAAATCCATTTGGCATCCAATGAGTGGTTGTATCGCAAAACCATTACAACTATAATAATATCTGTTTTTAAATGAATAAATTTACTAATAAAAGTGAGTCAATGTGTTGATCATAATATGGTAATGCCTTGGATGGCGAGGATGGGGTACTCGGCGTACATCGAAAGAGGATAGTCATTGGCCCACGAATACGATAACATCGTTAGGTATCTGTCAAATGACGGGTCAATGAATACATGCAATAATACTATTGGTATCATGTCCAGCAACACATACGCCCATAACTCAAGAACGAGACTCTGAAGGCTTAATCCACGACTGGATCTGCTCTGAACCAATGCCACCAATTGTGGTACTTTGAGCACAAGACACAGCAATGGTGTCAGTAGTGAACAAAATAAGTAAATCCATTCATTTAAACCACTATTTGACGACATTTGACTCCAAAAACAATGATTTGTAAAACTTTTTATAAAACTTGTAAACAACTAAAACAATATAAAAACTAATGAAAAGCAGTGATTTAACAAGTGTTAACAAGTTTAGCACATGTTGGATGACCTTGCTACTGTATTTATTGAGTTGATAGCTCATCCAACTTTAGAAAAGCATTTAAAAGGACAGTCAGACTCATTGAATTGATGTGCATTTGATTGCATAACACATGTGTCAACAAAACGTGTGTTTCTATCGTTTCTATGGTTTCTATGAAAACAATTGATTGCTTTGAAAAACAAGTGATTTTAGCACTAAATCTGATGTGAAATCAATTGAATCCGATTATCAAACTGATTGCCATTCACTCGGATTTATGACATTTTATGCTATGTTTGTCCATAAAGTATCAAATGTCATGTCAAAGTGATAATAAGCTTAATATATCCAATAGTTTGTATAATTAGTGTAAAAGTGTTGCAAAACTACACGTCATTTGAGTGACAAATATATGAAAAAAGAGATCATTTGTGGTAAATATGTCTCAAAAGAGCGACAAATCAAACATCGGTTACGAGAAACTGAAGTCAATTCAAATCGATATGAATGACAGCCACTCCGGGGTGTCTTCGGCCACTTCTGGCACCAAAGTGTCGGCATTGGATCAGCTGAGGAATGGGACGAAAGAGACCCTGAAGTACGCCTCACTCGTGACACTGACCGTCCAGAACGCGGCGCTCAGCCTCACGATGAGGGCCTCCAGAACTCAGAACCATCTCTTCATATCGTCCACAGCTGTCATCATCTCTGAGGTCATCAAACTGTTGACATGTCTTGTAATGGTTCTCATTGACGAAGGTTTGCATTGAGTTGACACCCATTTGACTGTAAATGTATTTAACATTTGTTTGGATCAACTCATAGGAAGTGTCCGAAAGTTAGTGCAATCCCTTCGCCGGCATATAATCAATGAGCCGAAAGACACCCTCAAAGTGGCGGTGCCTTCGATCGTGTATTACATCCAGAATAACCTGATATTCTTGGGGGCCACGCACTTGGATGCGGCCACTTCTCAGGTCACTTATCAGCTCAAGATCCTCACGACAGCTCTTTTCTCGGTGTTTGTGCTTAAGAAGCGCTTATATAACCACCAGTGGCTGGCATTAGTCATACTATTCATTGGCGTGGCTTTAGTCCAATTGGTCGAAATCACGAAGAAGTCCAACACCTCATCACAAGAACAGAACCCTTTGCTGGGGTTCACAGCAATACTGATGGCGTGTGTATTGTCTGGTTTTGCCGGCGTTTACTTCGAGAAGATATTAAAAAGCAGTTCCGAAGTCTCGCTTTGGATTCGAAACATACAGTTGAGTGCAATCGCCATTCCCTTTGGTCTGATCCAAGTGTTCGTCACTGACTCGCAACTGGTCTCCGAGAAGGGCTTCTTCTATGGCTATACTTTACTCACTTGGATTGTGGTCTTACTTCAGGCACAGGGAGGGCTTCTGGTGGCAGTTGTGGTGAAATATGCCGATAATATACTGAAAGGTTTTGCCACATCCCTGTCCATCATTCTCTCGTGCATAGTATCGGTGTACGTCTTCCAGTTCGAGGTGACCCTCCAGTTCGTGTTGGGCGCCTCCCTTGTCATCGGATCCATATTCCTCTACAGCAAACAACCCGGTAGTACTGACTCATCAGTATTCAAGTTGTCCAAGAGTTTAGACAAATCCTAACTGTATTTGTCGCACAATTAGCTAATCATTCAAACTATTTATTTAAATTAATATATTTTCATTAGAAAATGACTTAAAATGAAATTAATTTTTGGTTACTTTTTATGATCAAATTCTTATTGTATTATAAAAAACACACATTTTCAAGATATTTAACGACTAATTGTATTCTTATTGATTAGTCATACAGTATTTAAATTTGTTTTTTGTTGTCAATTTACTTATATTTTAAAATTAATGACAAATATATAAAACAGATTTTTAAGACAATTTTCATGTTTTATCGCAAAATTTTATGTAGTTTTCATTGACTTTTATCAACGCTTTCTGTCTGTTTATAAATACAGTAGTAATCAAACAGTGAATAAGACTAATATATAATTCAAAAAATTAATTTAAACTTCATATAAACAGTGAGACCGAAGTATCACAACCTCTCTCTCTCTCTCTCGCTCTCTCTCTCTCTCTCTCTCTCTCGCAATCACATCTCTGTCGCTCACATCATATAAACATTCCAATGATTTGATCATAATTTATATGTGACTTAAAATCAAATCATTACTAAAAAGAGAGATCAATAAACAGTTAAAAGCGAATCAAAAACATACGAAGCGTTTGACTCACAAATTATATTCAATTTGAATGAATGGGCAAATAAAGGAAGGATTTGTACAATAAATTCAATAAATTATTTTACACTAACAATAGCTTCAGATTCAAAACTCCTTTCAAGACATGATCAAAACCACGGATGAGCTCTGCGTTCAGATTAAATAAAATTGTTTTAACAAATCGATGAAAACCTAAGAGTTGTCTACAGTATGTGTTATACGAACAAAGCTAGAATTGAGTGCAAAAATCACCAGCTAGAATATTTAATGTCGTGAAACTCGGGTGAAACCACAGGACAGCGCTCTGCAAGTGAGACAGGCGCGAAAGGCTACCCAAGACTGGGCGGCAAACGACAAGTCATTCTTCACCTGTATCGTTACAACACTGAATGGGAAGCGATTGCGTGATAATGACAGACCTTATTGAGTATGGCTTCGGCTAATTCGAGGAAAGCTCGGTCTATGTTGATGTTGGCCTTCGCACTGGTCTCCAAGAACCTAATGTTGTGTTCCCTGGCGATGGTCTCACCCCTCTCTCTGGTGATCATCCGTTTGTCATCCATATCGCACTTATTTCCTAAAATCATTTTCTCCACGTCTTCGTTGGCGTGCTGAACAACACACGAGATAAACAGATTGTGAGATAAGGGGACTGTTGAGTACAGTACATAATTACGTAATGAAGTAGCTATAAAGCGTCGGTAAACCGCTACAATAGTTTCGAGAACCCTAAACACTACAGCATCTGATTGTAATATGGGTAGCGAGGGGACATTATGCTGGTCGTTATCGTGTGGAACCTAACCATCGAAACACATTCAGACATCACTACACATATCCACCATTCACTCAACCGTCACAACACATACCTCTCCTGTCCGGCCGTATCCCTGATCACCAAAATATTCAATACATTTATCAGTCAATTAAGTGTCTATTAAATGGACAAACAATTCAATACAAACCAAATCTGAAGTTTAATCCGTTTTCCTCTCAATTCAATAGTTTTAATCTTGAAGTCAATGCCTGAATGGATGGGAGAGATATATGGATGTGAGTGATGGTGATTGGGATGCAAAGAGTGGTCAGACCTATGGTTGAGATGAATGTGGTGTTGAAGGCGTCGTCGCTGAACCTGAAGAGTATACATGTCTTTCCCACACCCGAGTCGCCGATTAATAAAAGCTTAAACAACAAGTCGTAAGTCTTTTTAGCCATCGCTGAGTCTTGGTATCAATTGGCGGATCAAATGCAATGAAATGTATGAATGGATGAGTTTTACAATTGAAAAACAAATCAATGTTTATTTCAAACGGCAAGTGATGTGAGCATTGAGTCAATGAGTCAACTCTTATGCGCTTATAATAGCGTTAATTAAAAACTTCAATTCAATCATCAATTCAATGCAGTCATTGGATTGTATTCAATGGGCTTTCAATGGGTTCGCAATCATCTCATTCAATGCAAACACAACACCAATCATGAGACATAAGAATAGCCTAAGAAATAGCTGTTCACATCACTTATGCTTACTGTATAGACACGCGTAGACACTATATAGACGTCAGTACAGGATAGACACCATTAATATGACACTCTATTTATGTTGTGAACGCATAAAACATTAGCGATGTTTGAATCCAACGGCTCAACACTTTCACTCAATCCCTGTTTCACCACTTATTTCACGTTATTTGTGAATACACTTCAATTCAATTCACTTTTGTGTGAATTGACTGCAATTATGTGACCGTAAAAGCGATTATTAATTGAATTAGATTGCTATGAGATATTTTGACACTAATTTCATGTATACACTCAATTTTGCCACACCATATATACTTGGCACTTTTATAACTAATATCATCACCAATTTATAGATGAATATGAAGTTTTAAGCAAATAACCTTGCTAATTTATTCGTGATTATTTTGCAATTCATATCATATGACAGAAACATAGATATAAGGAGAGGGAGGGGAGAGGGAGAGAGAGAGAGAGAGAGAAAATGGGAAATAATAGGACACCGCTTTATAGTGTCATTAAAATGGCATTTAGACTAATTATTATTACATAAGTTGTTATTAATAGGGATATGAATCATGATTCACAATAAGGATCTAACATTTGGATTCTAAATATACAGTTTGAATCATATGAAAACAAGTTAACAATATAATGAATACCATATGATATAACATTTATTAAATTATCCAAATATTAACCTAATCAAAACAAACTTTACGATAAATTGTTTTCCGAGAAATTAAAAATTTCCAGTTATTTCTGGATAATTCATAGGACTATCAGTACTTAAGTAAAGTTTAATGGGAAAAGTTGATTAGGTTGTATTCAAATATGAAGTATTTTGAAAGCGTTCATTTGATTCATATGAAAATATTACATGAAAGATTAGCTTTGTAATTTACAACTTGTGTGTTGTATGAGAATAAATTGCAATTAAATACTTACTGATAACATATCAGCGATTACTTATATCGTAGAAGTGTTTCTTAGCTCTTAAAATGTCTTCGTATTTCTCAAAACACTGTTATATGATATGATATAAGCAATTGTAATATTAATATGAACTTATTTGGCATTTCCTAAACTAATATTAATAATGTGGTTGTTTTGAGGAAATTGTTAAACTTTTAATTGTAGCGATATTTTGGAGATTTCTCTTTTGGTTTGTTTCCTCAATAGGTTGTGTGAAATGCCGGAAAATCGCAAAATCATTATTTATTATAGTATTAATAAAACAATTACTATGGTCTCCGGTTAACTAAAACTGAGTCAATTCAAAATATTTATTAATTAAATTAATTAATTAATTTAATGTAATTTAACTTAATTAATTAATATAACTTTATTTAATAAATATTGTTACGTCAAGAAATTAAAAAATTAATTTAGTCTATAATATAATAAACAGAATAAATATTGTATTATGAAAATAGTACATTTATAACATACTTGTCTAAAGATTATTTAAAATATCAATAATTATTATTTTATATGCATTATTATATAATTGCCATTATATAATTATTGTCTACTTCTATTTTAATAAGTTTTATTTTATCACTTATTTGCTGAAAACAAGTTTTGTGTGATACTTTTAGAGCATTATTTATTTGCCTAATAAAACATCAAACTAGAAAACAATTAATTAATAGGAAATAAATCATTCAAAACTCTTCATCAATTAATAATATATAATTAAATATGAAATTTTCCGATTTATTAATTGCATATCACCTGAAACTAATACTTATACTGAGAATCACTTAATGAGTGCCAATGAATTGGGCCGTTGCTTAGGAAGAATGCAAACAATCAATAATTATATAGAATATTACTTTGATATTACAATCATTGTAAGTGCACCAAACCACAAGCATCAAGGCTAACTGTGCTGCCAGTGTTACCAAACCATTGCTACGGTACACAGTAGTTGACAGTCAAACAGTAATGACAATGCGATCTGAGTTACCAAAATTGCAAACACATCTCATAAGCAATTGTATTAACACTAGAAAGTTATATAACATTACTTTGAAAGTAGAAAATAATGGAATTCATTTGTATTAACAAATTTTCTTTACATTATACAGTGAATAAACAAAATCAAAGTAAATAATAAACTTTTAAAGTTCAAAGCCTCATAATATTCCTTAAAGTAGTTAATTATCAATGATTTACTAATCAAAGATTAGAGTAATGATAAATAACTGATAATTTTTATGTAACTAATGATAAAATCAGTTTTAATCACTCAATACATGAGATGAATAAGGATAGATTTAAAAGCAATTCTATCAATGATTTACTAATCAAAGATTAGAGTAATGATAAATAACTGATAATTTTTATGTAACTAATGATAAAATCAGTTTTAATCACTCAATACATGAGATGAATAAGGATAGATTTAAAAGCAATTCAAGTCTTCAATCACTTGATTCACTCAAAGACACCGCCAGTGACACCAATTCTGATCACAACAGTGCCAACAGTGGATACTCGACATCTTCCTCCTCTTTGGTCACAACCACATCGAGTGTCAGTGTTTTACAACCCATTAATATAACCGAAGCTCGAAATACTAATTATTTAGTGGGAAGTGTTGGCACAACGGTATGTAATTCCTGTCAACAATTCTTTCATAATAATTGATACAAAATTCTATTTATTAAAGGATTCACTGCTTGGAAGAGAAGAGTTATTGAGATTATTTCCAAATTCAAAAATGAGGTATTATTTTAAAATTTTCATAATTTACAACAAAATCTTAATTATAATGATATTATAGAATACTAGTTCTCTCGTGGAATATGAGTTCCCGAATGTGTCCGCAAGATATCAAAGATTTAATGCTTCCGGAATCCATTTCATTTGTTCCGGACTTATATGCAATTGGTATACAAGAGGGTCCGTCTGGAGATATCAATCAATTACAGATCCAAATGCAGGCCACTATAGGTGCCAGTCATGTGTTGCTCCATTCGGTCACTTTAGGTGTCCTTCACTTATCATTGTTTTTACGCCGGGATCTCATTTGGTTTTGTACTACACCTGAAGACGCCTTTTTCAATAACCGTCCCATAAATATGCTTAAAACGAAAGGAGCGCTCGGAATCTCATTCGCACTCTTCGGCACTTCATTCCTCTTCATTAACTGTCACTTAACGGCCCATCAAAACAAAGTTAAGGACCGAATAGAAGAATACATCAAAATAAGCGAATCATTGAATCTCCCAAAGAATTTGCATCCATTGAACCCCCGGTATGTGAGCCGAGATGTGACCGCAAGATTTGACTGTGTTTTCTGGTTCGGAGACCTTAACTTCCGGTTAGAGATCTCCGGACAAGATGTGACCAAAATTAT